TAAGTGTGTGTGTGTTCTTAAGTTGGTATAAAAAAATAATATATATTTAGTATATGTACTTAATTTGGTCTATATATTTATATATATGTTTGTATGTATATATGTAAATTAAATTTGTTGCAGAAATCAAATTTCTCAAAGTATTTTGCTCAATATAATATTAAAAACAAAACAAAAAAAAAAGTATTTGCTGTTTTCTTTTTCAGTTTCTCTTCTTCTTATTTTTTCGCTTACAAAAACTAACAACAAAAAAACCAACAACTCGTAGAATTGTGTCCAGTTTTTTCTTTTCTTTTCTTCGTGTTTTTTTTTTCTATTCTCTTCTATCAACTCTCCTCAAAGTCTGTTCCCTTCGTTTGTTGCTGAAGTCGCCAGAGTGTGTGCGCAAAGTGTTTGCCTGAGCATTAGTTAATTATGTTTCATTTTTCCTTTTTTTTTTTTTTGAATAGAGTAGAGTCTCGGAAATAAGCATAAGTAGATGAGTTAACAAATCATAAAAGCATATACACATTTAGAATAATAAGGAGCTGAAACAAGATTGCTGACTAAACTTAATCATAATAAATACATTTAGCTTAATAACAAGTGGTGTATGTGTGTGTGTGTGTCTGTGTTGTTGTTGTTGTAATAAATAAGGAGTTATGTAATACAAAAGATTTGCTTGAAATTCAACTGCGTGTGCTGCATCCAATTCCATTCATTCATTTTGCTCTCCCCATTTTGGTCGTCTGTATGTGTGTGCTCGTGTTCGTGTGTGTGTGTGTGTGTGTTGTCTTAGCCTATGAGAGGCCTTCATCCAGACTGTTGTTGGCGACATAGTTGGACCCGATCCCCGTCCACATATGCCGCATTCGTCTCGCTCGTCCATATTCCCAACTCTGATTGGATGCTCCATGAGGGCATAGCCCTACAAGGCCCGGCGCTAGCTGCAGACCAGCGCATTCTTCTGCGGCAGCTTGAGCAGGCGGCGCGTGCGGAACTCGTAGGCGCGCCGGCAGAACATCACCAGCTCCGGATTGGTTTGGTCCGGCACGGTGCGCACCGGAAAGCAATTGCTCGTATTGGTGCGTCGCGGCACAATGCTCACATCCTCCACATCCTCCTCGGCGGCGCGCAGACGTCGTCGATATCTGCACAGGGTACGAATGGCATTGGAATCAGTGAAACGAAACTCAAATGGTATCGGGCCACTCACCTGCAGTACTCGCTAAAGGTCAGCACGTAGCACTTGTCCTCGATGCAGGCCACCGAATTGTGATCCCGATGCCGCGATGCGTACACCTCGTCCGGGCAGTCGTTGCGCTGCCGGCCCTGATCCGTGTGCTCTGGCCGATAATACCACAGCAGCGACATCATCATTTCACCTGAAAAGCAGCAAAAATTAATTAAATATTCCGTGTCATGAGTTTACTAGTTTACTATTTCTTAAATAATAATTAAAAGTAAAAATAAAAAATATCTAATTAAAATGAAGATTANTTACGATCATCGGCATTATTCATCTCGCGTCTTCAGGAACCCATCATCGAACACCAAGTTATCCACAATGATATTGTGCTGTGAGAGATATTCAGAGATCTATATTCAAAAAGGATATCTACTTCCTATATAATAGGATGTATACTATATACCCTACTCACATTGTAGGGGCAAGTATGATTAACATTGGATCTCGATTGAATAGCTGCCAGCACCATGTACTCGAATGAGACTTTATTCCGAGCTGCTAAAAGATTACAGAAATCGCAAGTGGAATTGTATAGAAACGGCTGGAAGCTATTATAACGTCGCCAACCGCTCCAGTTGATCTATATAAAGAAAATAAATTCAATAAAATAACGAATAAAAACTAAATAAAAGTAAGTACACGTATTTTTATATTACATTTAATAGCAAACAGAGAGATTCTTATATAGCCAGAAGAATCCAAGGATTACTTACGAATATATTATCAATCGGCAGCTTCAGCATTAATATAAATACATTGGCAGAGACAACTCCTCTGCCAATGACTTTCAGTTTGCACTTCTCAAACTTCGCGAATTCGGGATCAAAACTGCTGCACTTGAGATTCGTGAATCTGGACCTTCGACTGTTTACCGATGCGAGCATCAGAAGAACTATCGCGATTGACAAAGACACAGGTGCCGGCTTCATAGCTTCATCACTAATGACATAGAGGCTACATTACTAGAGTCGATCGATGATAAAAAATATATATAAATTAAACTTAAAATATAATCTTAGAAATGAATTAAATTGTTCGCACACTGAAAGACCCAAAAGAACTAGTTCATTTTTATTTTCCTTTAAACATTACTTTCAAAAACATCTATTTCGTGCTCACGATAAATCATTGGTTCTGCTCTTGTATAAATGAACGAACTAGTTCCCTTTAGTCACATAATTCTCATCAGAATATTTAGGTATAAATAACAGAATATATATTTTGTGATTATCATTCACTATGGTTCAGTTCAGCTCTTAGAGTATATCAATTATACCTATACATATATCACATATATTACTGATTAGAAATTCATAATTAAGAATTAGTAATAAAAAAAGAACCAGTTGGTTCATTTGATGACTTGCACATTTATATGTATGAAACTAGTTGAACACACATGAACCAGTTCATTGTTCAAGCTCAAATAATATAATGCCCTGGTTCAATCGATTGATTCTCATTGCAATTCGAGATATTTTATAAATGAACTAGTTCCGCTTGGGGCCTAACTCAGTGCATGACTGCTCAATGGAGTTGTGGAACCTATTTGACGCTTACCATCCTCGGGATTCTGCCATAGATGCGCCACCTTGGCCACATAGGGCAGCTCGTTGTCCTCGTTGGCCTTCAGCAGGACACAGTCGCGCGTGCGTATGATGTCCCCCTCCACATGCCGCATGGCCGGATAGCAGGTGCGCAGCACCAACGGATCATCGCTCTACAGAGTGAAAGAGTGAGAGAGAGAGAGAGAGAGAGAGAGAGAGAGATAGGCTGTCATTTTCAAGCTCAAACTGAACTACAGTACACACTCACATTGAGAAACACTGCACCCTGAAACGCCTTGCCCGCCCACATCCAGCCGTTGTTCCACTTGGGCACCACATTGGCCCGCGTTGCCGGCGGCTGAGTCTCGTCCAGCTCGTGGCTGACGCCGCTGGGCCGCTGTCGCTGCTTCTTGCGGTTGCCGAATTTGCAACGCGAACGGGCGCGTTTCGTGTGCGTTGCCGTTGGGGCGTGGCGTGTTGCGGCGGATGCTGTAGTTGCTGCTGCTGTTGTTGTTGCTGCTGCTGCTGCTGTCGCTGTTGCTGTTGTTGTGGGCGCTGTGAGCGTTGTTGGTGTCTCAATTGGCTTGTGGGGCACCAGGAACTTGTGTTGCTCATCGGAATGTTGCTGCGACTGTGTTGCTGCTGCGACTGTTGCTGCTGCTGTTGCTGGCAACATTTCGTGCACAGCAACAGCACCAACTGGCACTGTGGGCGTGGCATTTAGTTTTTGCACCTGCAAGTCAGCCGTTTGATACTCATTGTTGTTGGTCTCGGCAGCAACTGTTGCTGTTGCTGTTGCAGCAACTATTGTTGCTGCTGCTGCTGCTGTTGCCGCTGCCTTTCGACTCTTGGCCGTTGCCGGCCTGGCCTTGGCCTTGCTGGCCGGCTGCTTGCGCGCCTTCTTGGCCGGCGGCTCAACGCCAGCTGAGGTAGTTGACTGCGCTGGCAGCGTCGCTGCTGTCGTCGTCGCCAGCGACGCCAACACAGCGCTGGCCGCACAATTCGCTTGGGTTAGCGGCTTCTTCGTCTCCGACTTGGAGCGCTTCTCGCTCGCCAACGTCGACTGCGGCTGCAACTGCGACTGCAACTGCGGCTGCGGCGCCAGCAGCGGCGACGGTAAGGCCGGCGCATAGAGCCCAACGTTGGCCGTGCTGCGACTGTTGCTGCTGCTGCTGCTGTTCAGCTCCGGATCGCTGAAATAGCCACGCGTCAGCGTCGTATCCAAACTGTCCAGCAGATGCAGTGCGGCAATCGCTTGCTTGCGCGGACGCGCGCGCTTCGGCGAGGCGCTGGGCGAGCAACTGTTGGCCAGAGCCAATGTTGCTGCTGCAGCTGCCGTTGCTGTTGCTGTTGCTGTTGCTGCTGTTGCCTCGTCAGTTGCTGTTGCTGCTGCTGTTTGCGTGTGCTGCTGCTGCTGCTCTTGCTGCTGCTGCTGTTGTTGTTGCTGCTGTTGCTGCTTGCGCTGCTGCTGTTGCTCGCGACGCAAACGTTGCTGTCGCTGCGTCAGCAACATTTGCCGGCGCTTCACATATTTGGCCGGCGCTCGGCCGTAGCGCCGCACGAACTTACGGCCCGGACACAGATATTTCTTTGGCTCCGCCTGCTTGATCAGACTCTTGTAGCTGTGCGGCTTTGACTTCTTGCCCTGCGTGGCCGAGGCAAGCAAATTGATGCGCTGCTTGGCAACACTGCTGCTGCCACTGTTGCTGCTGCTGCTGCTGCTGCTAGGCGGCAATTGTTGCTGCTGCTGCTGCTGCTGCTGCTCCTGCTCCTGCTCCATGTTCTGCTCTAGCTGCTGTGGCTTTTGCATGGCCAAGTCGAGCTCCGGCTCCGTCTTAATTGTGGGCTTCAGATCGGGCATTTTGCTGATATGTGTGTTGCATGTGGCCGCCGTTAAAGCTGCTGARGCAGCGGCAACTGCTGCTGCTGCCGCTAGCTCATCGTGCTCGATTTTGATTTTGGTTTCCGCTTTGATTTCTGCTTTAAGTACAAAAGGCAATTGTGGTTCGGCCTCAGCCTGTTTGCTGAGAAGCTGTTGCTGTTCTTTATGTTTCAGTTGCTGTTGCAGCAGGTGTTGCTGTTGCAGCTGTTGCTGCTGTTGCGCCGCATAGACCATCTCCCTGGCCATGCTCTTGCCAATGCGCGCCTTACGAGGCATCACAACTGGAGGCGGCGGCGTGCTGCCCGTTAAGTCATAGGATTCAATATCCTTGGCATGTTGCTGCTGCAACTGTTGCTGTTGCAGGTGTTGCAATTGTTGCTGCTGATGGTGCTGCTGCTGCCGCTGCTCGAGTTCCAGCTCATGCTCGTGCTCGTGCTCGTGCTCGTGCTCCTGTTCCTGCTCCTGCTCCTCCAGCAACTTGTCGTCGCTGGCACAGTAGCTCTCCGGCGGAGTTGGCGGCGGCATCACATGCGCCTCGTATTGCATTTTGGTCACCTGGCACTCGGCGTCGCTCTTGAGCTCAGTTTTGACCAGCATCTGGCATTGGGTGCCCATGTTGTTGGTGGTCGTTGTGGCCGATGTTGCAACGGAGGCAACTGTTGCTGTTGTGTTCGTTGCCGCCGTTGCCGTTGCCGTCGGCATTGTCGTTGTCATTGTTGTCGTATCTCTGCTAGTTGTCCTTGTCTTATCGTTGTTGCCATTTTTAACTGGGCCTCTACTGGTAGTCAGCGCTGTTTCTGTTGCTGTTGCTGTTGCTGATGTTGCTAATGTTGCTATTGCTGTCGTTGTTATCGCTGTTGCTGCTAAAATATTGCTGCTGCTGCTGCTGCTGCTGTTGGAAGTCAAGCTGTTGTTGCTGTTGCTGCCATCGCTGCTCGGCATGCTGCCATGCACAGGCATATTGCTCTTGCTCTTGCTGCTGCTGCTGCTGTTGCTGCTGTGGCTCGTAGCATTCAGCAGCAAATTGTTGCTGCTGCTGCTCGTCTTCTGCGTGGAACAATTGCTGTTGTGGCTGATGCTGTTGCTGCTGCTGCTGCTGTTGCTGTTGCTACCAATATGAGGCCCAGTATGGACGTTTTTTGGACACGATTGTTGCATTGGACACGGACACTGCGGCGGATACTCTGTAATATTTGAAAGAAAGAATTTCATATTAGCACTGGGCTCCAATTGGATTTATGTTTATGTTAATCCCTCATAGTTACAGCAACTATCCTATTCAAAGACCTCTACTAGAAGACCTATAATGAAAGATCTCCATTGAAAGTCTTTTATTGGAAGACCTATATTGATAACCCCCCATTGAAGGACCTTTATTGAAAGACCTCTATTGAAAAACCTTTTCTAATATTTCATATGCTGTTTAACCCCCTTCTTGCCATCGATATACATTCATTTCCTCAAAATCATCATCACATATAAGCCAGTAAATTTATCTATTCAGAATTGAAACATTTCCTGAAAATGGTATCCTTAATTATTGTCAGCAAAATTTTCTTATATAGACGCTCAAGGAACCGTCGCTATACTCGGAAGACGCTATAACCGTATAAATTTGCTTTGTTTGGGAAACAGAATTTTCATTGCAATAACCGTACGGACGCTGTGAGCGGAGTCGTTATGAATGGATTCTACTGTATCTTGGAAAGCCGAAGGCTTCAGTTCATTTTAGATTAATTCTAGTACCTAATAATTAACTAACTATCCTAATATGGCCTATTTATCATACAACTATCAGTTCTGTTTAATCTGTAATATTCCAATTGGACACATCTCTTTCCCATTCGACTTTCCTTTGTGAAATTTGTTGAAATTGTTGTTGTTGTCGATTATCTATATCTTAATATCACATCATTGACAGTATAATCTATTCCAATTGGATACGATTATCCTATTAGAATTGTCTTTCCTTTGTGTGAACGTTTCTTTCGCCTCTATAGAACTCTTGTTTACTGTTATTGCCTCTCTGACAACATTTCCGCCTCCAATTGGACACACTCCATTCCAATCAGTTTGGAGGGCTCTACATGGATCTAGCATATGAGGAGCAGCTCTAATCAGTTCTCTGAGTATCTGGGTGCATCTGTGGATTGGTTAGGTGGCAAGAACCATACTTTTCCTTACCCATATACGGACCCTGCAGACCGCGCGTGTAGCACTGGCCGGCGGCGCTGCCGCCTCCTGGACTGTATCCGGCGTAGTAGCTGGGCGGTCCCGGGTAATGTTCCAGGTGCTGTTGGTGCTGGTGGGCGGGCACCAGCTGGGTGCCGGCCGGGGCGGGCGTGGCACCGGCCGCTGCTGCTGCAGCTGCGGCGGCGGCGGCAGCTGCTGCCGCTGCGGCAATCGAGACCGGCTGCTGCTGCTGTTGCTGCTGCTGCTGCGGCGGCGGCTGGGGCACACCTTGCGGCGGCGGTGGCGGCGGTTGCTGTTCGTAAAGCTCCGGCGGCGGCGGATGCGGCGGCCCAGCGTGCTGATAATACGGATAGCGTCGATACGCGCCCGGCGGCGGTGGCGGCGGATGCGCAGCCGGATGTGTGGGCGGCGGCGGGCCGCTCTGATAGACCTTGCTGGAGAAGTACGGCTGATAGGCGGGCGGCGAATAGCACATGACCTCGCCCGGATACGGTGAATAATAGTTGGGCGGATATGCCGTCGAGTAGTGCATCTGGGCCGCGTGCATAGAGCGCGGATATGGCACGCCCGGATGACCGGCAGCGGCCGCTGCAGCAGCCGCCACGGCGCTGGCGCCCGGATACGGCTGTGGCTGTGGCTGTTGCGGCTGCTGTTGCTGCTGCTGCTGCTGCTGCTGTTGTTGCTGCTGTTGCTGCTGTTGCTGGTGAGCTGCTGCTGCTGCTGCCGCTGCTGCTGCAGCTGCTGCTGCCGCGGCTGACGATTCCTGCTGCGCTGGCGGCTGAGTCTGTGCGGCACTGGTTGGATTTGTCGGCGATTCGTCCTCGCTTAGCTTCTTGATTGGCTGTGGCACACCAGCTGCTGCTGCTGCTGCTGATGTTGGTGTTGGTGTTGTCGCTGCTGCTGCTGCAGCTGCTGCGGCCGCCGCTGCGGCTGCCGCTGCCTGAGCGGCTGCTGCTGTTGTGGCTGACGGTGGCGGTGGCGCAATGACATGCGGCGAGATCAGCGGACCCGCCGGCTGATAATAACCTGCAATGAGACGGAAAAAAAAAAACCGAAATCAGAAATCAGTAAAAAAAAATTTTGCGTAGCTGCTGGAGCTCGAGTGAAATGCGGCAACCAAGCATAAAGTGAAAGTTGGCTGGTTGGTTGGCCAAAAAACAACAAACAAACAAGCAAACAAACAACAAAGACGGCTAACAAAAACTAGTTAAGCCAGCCGCTCGGCCTCACGGAGGAGCACGAGCTGGTCGTGCAACAATCTTAGCCTAGCATAATGCTACCAGCTACCCAGCACCACCCACTGACCGCCCGCCCGTTCCCCGTTCACTCAGCCCGCCCCTTGTACCTCTTCCCAGCATGTGAGCCGCATACAAAATGTCGCGAAAATGATGCGCCGCATGCTGCTGCAGAAACGTAAACGACTCGGCTATGTTGGCCGCCAGCGCAGCAGCGGCTGCTGCCTCATCCACATTGGCGGGCAGCGTTGGCATCGTCACGGCGGGCATCGTGGGCATCGCATGCATCGTCTGCATCGTCTGCATCGTGGGCATCGTTACGGGCATTGTGGGCATCGCAGCCATCGCAGCCAGCGGCGACAGCGCCGATGACGATGACAGTGTGGAGCGTTCCGTTTCGCAGGTGCCGCTGCTGCTGGTGCTGCCGACGCTGCTGCAGCGCTGCTGCAGGTACTGCTGTTGGTGCAGCTGCTGCTGTTGCGCAACTGTTGGCGGCGATATGCGCAGCGTTTTGAACAGCTCGCCGGACAGCGGCAGCAGCGTTGGTGATTTTTTTGTGGTCTCTTTTAGGCGCATGATGTTTTTTTCTTTTCAAGTATTTTGTTGTTCTTTTTGTTTTCTTTTTTAATTCTTATTGTTTTTAT